GCGCTGCGGGGAGACGAAGCTGCAGGACAAACACAGGGGACAGGAAGGGGCAGTTTTCACAGGAGGTTAACGGGGGGCAGTTCCAGCGTCCAGCGTCTTTCGCCCCCTGCCCCCGTTCTCCTGCAGGGGCTCAGGGTCGGGCGGCAGGCCCGGCGCTCAGGCGCGAGGCCCACGATGGCCCCGACTGACGTTCCAACTCAGAGGGAGGGAAGAGCCCTGGGCCCTCCCGCGGGGCAGGGCTCCCTGGTGGCCTGGGCCCCGCCGCAGCCAGGAATAGCCGGACCCAACGTTTAAAAGCAGAAGATCTTAGCAGGGAAATGGACCCGCCTGCCTCAGGGCAGGAGCCGACCAATAGCCCTGGGGTGAGGCGGAGCCTGGGGCAGGTCCCCCTCACTGCAGGCTTTGTCCCGTCCTGGGAAGCGGCTGTTCGAGCCAGGACACCAGGCGAGATGGGCCCCTGCTCAGCCCTGGCAAGTCTCGTGCTGCCTCTGCTGTATCTGATGAAGGCAACATCCTGGCTAAGAGTTTCACGCCAGTTCCAGCCGCCCTGGGTGCTTGCGCCCCAGCCCTGTGCCCAGGGAGGGGTGCGAGCTGCTGTCCCACCCGGGGGGTGCGAAACGGAAGCGGGTCAGCGTGACATGTGCATCGCTCACGAGAGAGCTGACACACAGGTGCACTACGTGGGAGCCAGCATGAGTCACACCGAGAGGAAATTAGATTTCACAGCCAGCGCCTGGGGAGCTGGGCAGGGGATCCCTCACGGCTCCAAGCCCCAGACAGGCGCGGGCAGCGCTCAGGGGGCAGGGATATTGCCAGGGTGGGGAGGAGCCTGGCTGGGCCATGCCTAGTACTGCTCCAATGTCCGTAGGGAGAGAGGGCCTGGATGCTCGCACTGGGTAACTGAGGAACTTGGCAGGAGGGAGGGGGGAGATTGCAGCGTGAACATGTGCAGCGCAGCAGGAGACAGCCGGTCACCTGCTCCAGCCACGGCCTTGAGCCCACCAGGGCAGCTCGGGGCAGCTCAAGCAGCTTCTCTTCATGCCCGGAGAAGCAATGCCCCCTTGGCACCCCACTGAGGTCGCAGGGGGTCTCCGTGGTCCTGCCTGCCTTGGCCTCTGTGGGCAGCGACAGCAGATGTGGCCAGTAGCTGAGGTGCCAACTCTGCCCATAGCTCCATCGGTGCCCGGCCAACCCCTGGGCTGAACTGAGTCAGGGAGAGAGCAGAGCAGGCTCCCGGCCCCCTGAAAACCCAGAGCCAGCCTTGCCCCTTGGCTCTGCCAGCTTTTAACTTCCGCGCATTGATGGGCAATGAGCTCGGCGAGCCGGCTGTGACGTAGTGGGGGTACTTGCTGGGCTGTGGTGACCCCTGCTGTCTGGAGCAAGACCCAGCAGGGAAAATCTCGCTAGGCAGAGATAAGGCCAAACTTGTCGAACCAGTGGCCAGACACCCCCCATGGAGAGGAACAAAGGAAGGTGAATGCTGCCCTGGACTGGGGGGCAGGGCTGCAAGGGAATTTAGTTGTTACTGTGGGAGAGCATGGAGGAGACAGCCTAGGGAGAGGAGCTGGAGTTTAGGGGCCCAGTCTCCCCCCAACTCAAGGGGGCCTGAGG